CAAAGAGGATCTAAAGAAGTACTAGACAAAATCTGAAGAAATCTAAAGGATTAGAAATCTCAAGAAATCTAATCTTACAATTAGATTCTAGGAAAGAAGTAAGAAGATTATGGAGAAGATTTAAAAAGGTACAAGACAGAACTTGAAGAGATTTAAAGCAAAGCCTATAATGAATCTACGAAGATTTCATAAAAAGAAACATTAGAAAATTCCATCTGAAATCTGTAAATCTGTAAATTTGAAATATCTAGCATTAAAGACTTTAATTATTTTATTGATATGATTGAGTGTAGCGCGTGGCTATGCGTGACGACATAGTACGCGATCTAAAGCAGTGATATAGTATAATTAATCACGGTTCACTCAGGTAAATACCGTTCCAAGTTTAATTAGGAGAATATGAAAAAATGTGTCATAAGTAGTAGCAATGACACAGCTAGAGTATGCATGAAGAACCAGAAGAAAGATAAAAAGAGAGCGAGTTATATGCACGTACGACGTACGGTCACCCTGTGATCAACTCACGGGAGTAAAGGTTTTACCGATGGCATACCCCATACAAGCAGAGAGGAACATATAGGCAGCGGTTCCCACACTGTAGGCAATGATTTATTGGCCTGCCACCCGCCAGACCTGCTGTCATCATCGTCCCATGGTTGGTCCAAGATACAGCGAACCGTACCGTATATAACTTCCCATTCTTCACGATCTTTCGCGCCATATCGGCTCCTTCTTCCATCGCGCCCCGGCGAAACAGGAAAGCCCCGTTTGATACCACTCCATCCACCTTGTTTTATCCTTACCGAGACCGATACTACCCGGGACTTAATAATTACCTGTTTCTTATCTATGTCACCGGTAGTGTCGCTGCGTAGAACACTGCTCGATCTGCTTTGTCCTTTTTCTTGGGACGATCTGGAACTGAAGAGGTTACATGGCACGCGTAACCTTCCCTTCATTTCTTCACTTTTGTGGCAAGTTATGGTATGTTGACCGATGTGTAATATTAGGACGTGGGTAAGTAGTTTGATGAGGAACACTGTTACTTGTTCACTGATGAATTTTATTTCATGCTGAAAGATATTTTTAGTGATGGGCGAATTTGAGTTAGTCGACAATGGTTTTTAAAAGTGAAACTTTTTTAGAACGATCATGAGGCATTTTGAGAGTGTAAGTATTTTTTGGAAACATAGATAAAGTAGTGTGAAGGTGGAAGTACGTTTTTAGATGAGAGATGAAATTGGGAGTTTATGAATTTGACGTGGATGTTCAACGTGTTATGTTGAGTATTTGTTGCAAGATTATTTATTAAAAGTCGATACACTTTTCTATCTTATGATCGTTGTTAACATCGTTCGAATTTGTACAGTTATACAAATGTTTTACAGTATTTTGACGAATATTTTTATTTTCTTGTGCTGAGTATATAGAGATTCGTTTTATACAGGAATTCTATGTATTATATTAAATTTTTGTTACAAAATTATTCGTTAAAATTCGACGAATGCATTTCAATTGAAATTAATAATGTTTGAATTCACACTATTGTGCAGTATTTTTACGAATTTTTATACTTTCCTACATTGAATTCGTGAACTTTTGGTTTTTATGTAGACACTCAAATGCATCATATTTTATAATATTTTAAATATGTTATATTTCAAGTAGAAAAAATATTCATTAAAATCGAGAGATATTTTAAAATTAGTATGAACAGTATTCGAATTGTTGTTTTGCAACATTTTGCAGTAATTTTTCTATCTTACAATATTAGAATCATACACGTACGCAATTATAATGGTTGAGTCATTCAAGACCTAATACGAAATTTTTCTCATATCGAGTTCAGATTATGTCACTCGCGTGACGCTGTAATAATTAGGGTAAATGACCCCATTATTATGTATATAAGAATCTTAGGTAATTATATAAAAAACACTTCATTTCAATGACCTTGTAATATGTTGTTAAAAACGCCATTTTTAACAAATTTACCATGTAACCATCGTTCAGGTTTAACTTCAGATATTTAAAAAATATTCAATTAAAGCAATACAATCGTACTTATGACAATTATTCTCATTTCTGTTGATTATTACTGTAAAACAATATTAAATAATAAATCATAATATTAACACTATGATGTTAATCATAATATTAACAGTGCCCTAAATTAACCTCTTCAGGGATGATATTTCTGAAATTAAGGAAAGAAACCATTTTTTAAAATGTAATTATATTTGTACTTACATTAAATCGACAACTAAATTAAAAAATTATTAGTGATATATAAAAGACAAATAATGTCCGCATATGTGGTTATACTTGAATTAAGAGAAAAACCAATCATGTTCGATTCAGTAGGTTACGTCCCTCAAGAGGTTCGGTTAAATTAGGAAATAGTTCTCAAACAATTAATAAAATTATTTATTATACAAATTTTAGTGTACCATCTTAAAAGTACAAGGTTAGTGACATATTTGACCTAGCACAGAACATTGAACAATTATAGAAATCTGAGTAAATATAATTTTTTGTTATTACATTCTTGAAACTGCAACACATTTTATGCAATGAATATTTCTTTAAAAAATAGCAAAGCAACTTTGTTAAATTAAACACACTGTCCACCATATACTTTCAAGGATGTCCCACAAAAATTCCACACCATCTAATAATAATTTTGTTGCAACTTATTTAAAGATTTGATTAAATAGAAAACAAACAAGTTCAGTACTCTGTGTTAATTTTCACGTACTAACCTTACATGTTTACGTAGATCACTCACAATGTATACATAACTGAATAATCGTTTTGATATTATCTACAAATTTTGACAATGAGAAGTTACAAGGTATTTTATAACAATTATAGACAATTTATAGTAATGCAATATTATGAAATAGCATTTTATAATAAAAAAATCAATCTAATATTTTGTACCGCGTTAGCAAATTTCATATTTCGAAGGTGTAAAGCTTATATACAAGCTTGTATACTACCACATGCTGTTCCAAAGCCATATCAAATAATTTCTTGTTACACACGTAATTTCACCTACTTGCTAAATTAAAAAATGTAACAATACAAAGCTACGATGTTCACTTAAAAAAAAAAGCATACAGATATCAGCTCCGATAAAATATAACCAACCAGTTTGAAAGAAAACCCTCAAAATACACTGCCATCAATCAACGATAATAATTCACAAAGTCCGATAACGATTAGCACGATACAAAACGAAGACCATGACTTTTAGCAATTATGCCACACGACGTAAATCATCACTTCAAGTAATCACTCACATACCACACGGCAACCGGTCACGTTAATATTGACTGAAGACAAACAATTACGCATAGTTTAACCTTAGAAAGTTGTTTGACCCCATGTTGGCTTACACAAGTAGGATCCTTATTTCCCATAAGTTGAATCCCAGACGTTAAACGACTGCGTCACGAAGGAGGCAGAAGGGAGTAGGAGTGCACCGAGCTGACCAGCACCCCTGCACTGACCTATCGGTTGCCCTGGCGGGCAAAATAGTCGAGGAAGCTCCTTCTGGCGAAATTCTGCGGAATCAGGGTTACGGGCGTGCACACGTGGGTCAGCATATGCACGGCAAAACGTAACAACGAGTATGGGACGGTTTGGTCGTACCGTGGGGGACGAGGCAGGGTTGAGCAGCAAGGACGAGGCGGGGCAAGGGAGGGTTCCTTCCAGAAGATGGGGCAAACACGAAGTCGCTTCGGTAGAGGGGTTATTTCGTTTCGTCTCAGCGTGGTTTCCCAAGCGGCAGCCTCGCTCGCCGACTGGCATCGTCTACAGTCGAACTCGTTCGCCACTGGACGACGGACGTCGCGGCGTCGTCGTCGTCGTCGGCCTCTTTCATAACCGAGGAAAATCGGTCGTCACGATGCGTTGCGATTTACCGGTAGTCGCCTTAATGCTCGCCTTTGTGTCAGTGCCCAAGGTGGACGGCTGCGCGTTCTGCGACAGACTGTCACAGCAACAGATGCAACTCAGACAACTGCAACAATTGTCGCAGCAGCAACAACAACAGCAGGGATACAAGACGATGGGCAGCCCCAGGCCGTTCGGAGCCGAGAAACCAACCAGGGCGCAGGAATTCAACAGGACCGGAGTTCTGCACCCCGAGTACCAGATACCCGCCACCCTTCGGCCTGGCAATGTATCTCAGTGAGTAGTACCTTTGCGCTTGGAACACGTGCAACGAGTCAGTTTGACCCACTGCACTCAAAGTTGTTTGCATTGCACTTTAAGCCTCTTAAGTTATAACGATTACTGAACATCTGAAGGAATGTTTGATTAATTGTGTGGGTATAACACCGTAGGCTTGCTACTTGGGAGTCATATAAGGGGTCATTTTGACCCACTATGTGTCAAGAGTATACAGCTTGGATCTGTGGAGTGATTCCTGAGAATCTGATGAAGTAATGTTTGATATCGTATATGATACCCCTTTGGTTACTTGGGAATCATGTAGAGGGTCATTTTGACACACTGTGTATTGTACTACCAAGAATACACAGTCTATGTCGTAGGTTATGGGGTAATTTCTGAGAATCTGAGTGATTGATATCGTCAGACACCCTTTTGAGTTTATACTTGCATATGGGGCCATTTTGACCCACTGTATATTGTACTATCGCGTGTGTGTAGCATAGGTTGTAAGTCATGAGGGTATTTCTAAGATTCTGAGAAAGATATGAGTAGTTGCTGCACCCTCTTGAGGTAACTTGGGTTTCATGTGTAGAGCCATTTTGACACATTATGTATGCTGATGTATAACCTTGATTGTGAGTTATAGAACAGTTAAGAATAGTAAGAATCTGAAGGGTTCCTTCCAGAAGATGGGGCAAACACGAAGTCGCTTCGGTAGAGGGGTTATTTCGTTTCGTCTCAGCGTGGTTTCCCAAGCGGCAGCCTCGCTCGCCGACTGGCATCGTCTACAGTCGAACTCGTTCGCCACTGGACGACGGACGTCGCGGCGTCGTCGTCGTCGTCGGCCTCTTTCATAACCGAGGAAAATCGGTCGTCACGATGCGTTGCGATTTACCGGTAGTCGCCTTAATGCTCGCCTTTGTGTCAGTGCCCAAGGTGGACGGCTGCGCGTTCTGCGACAGACTGTCACAGCAACAGATGCAACTCAGACAACTGCAACAATTGTCGCAGCAGCAACAACAACAGCAGGGATACAAGACGATGGGCAGCCCCAGGCCGTTCGGAGCCGAGAAACCAACCAGGGCGCAGGAATTCAACAGGACCGGAGTTCTGCACCCCGAGTACCAGATACCCGCCACCCTTCGGCCTGGCAATGTATCTCAGTGAGTAGTACCTTTGCGCTTGGAACACGTGCAACGAGTCAGTTTGACCCACTGCACTCAAAGTTGTTTGCATTGCACTTTAAGCCTCTTAAGTTATAACGATTACTGAACATCTGAAGGAATGTTTGATTAATTGTGTGGGTATAACACCGTAGGCTTGCTACTTGGGAGTCATATAAGGGGTCATTTTGACCCACTGTGTGTCAATAGTATACAGCTTGGGTCTTAGATCGTGACGATTACTGTATATCTAATGAAGGAATGTTCGATATGGTTGTGTGGGTATAACACCGTAGGTTTGCTACTTGGGAGTCATATAAGGGGTCATTTTGACCCACTATGTGTCAAGAGTATACAGCTTGGATCTGTGGAGTGATTCCTGAGAATCTGATGAAGTAATGTTTGATATCGTATATGATACCCCTTTGGTTACTTGGGAATCATGTAGAGGGTCATTTTGACACACTGTGTATTGTACTACCAAGAATACACAGTCTATGTCGTAGGTTATGGGGTAATTTCTGAGAATCTGAGTGATTGATATCGTCAGACACCCTTTTGAGTTTATACTTGCATATGGGGCCATTTTGACCCACTGTATATTGTACTATCGCGTGTGTGTAGCATAGGTTGTAAGTCATGAGGGTATTTCTAAGATTCTGAGAAAGATATGAGTAGTTGCTGCACCCTCTTGAGGTAACTTGGGTTTCATGTGTAGAGCCATTTTGACACATTATGTATGCTGATGTATAACCTTGATTGTGAGTTATAGAACAGTTAAGAATAGTAAGAATCTGAAGAAACGTTTGATGTTGAGTAAGAGTAACACCCTTTGGTCTAACACTTGAACGGCGAATATAGTCATTTTGACCCGGGATGAACAGCATTTTTATGTATACGCATTTTAAGTCACAAGTTATAGGACTGGCAATAAGACTTTATACAGAAAATTTAAATGATTGAAGTTGAAATGTTGTCCAACCATCTAAACATTTAGTTTCTTTAAATTTCTGCTCCAATATTAGAATTTTGTATGCAATTGTTTAGTTAATTCTTGTACTTCTAGTACTGGGTCATTTTGATTTATTGTCTTATACTGTCATGTACACATAAAGTCATAAGTCATAGGACAACTCCTAAAGAAAACTAGTTGATATCAAAGAAAAATTGAAAGCAGATGCAGTCTTTTTTATTTAACATAATTACATAAAATCATTAATAATTAGAAATTTTCCTAATTTTATTTCTGACAATTTTAATATCTTTTTTTTCATTTTTTCGGAATTATTCAATTCTAGAGTAACATATTTTCAATTTTGTACACGACTCTATTAATATTATTGTGGGTCAAACAGGCCTTCTGAACGATTATTACAACCATCCCTTTAAAATATTCCTTTCATGAGGGAGAAGATTTAATTACTCATACGGAATTACTATACTTTAACAAAACTTCTAACTGTGTAAGTCTAATTGTTTCAACTAATACAAATTTATTTTATTTTATCAAAAACTGTATGCGTGATATGAGGACTCATTAACAATTAGATCATTTAATTAGATCATTCTAATTAGATTAGAATTAAGAATATTACATTTTTTACAAAACCTGCTAGTTTAAATTAGGAATATTATGAAGCACAAATTTGAACAAATTTATTTAAAAAAAAATTTTAATAATTTGATTAGATTTCACAAAAAGTATAAATATATCATTTAAATTTTTTAAAAATATTTCTCACAGAACAGAATTTATTTGATTATGTAATTTGCATAAACAAATGTCCTAAAAGTTTTTATTTTCGAATTTTTAAAAATGTTCATTATAAAAAATAATTTATACTTAAAAATTTAATTTACTTGTATAAACAGATTTTCAAAAAATTTAAACAAGACCAAAAACATTAATAATTATTAATTAATAAATTAATATTTTTATTTTCATTCTTACAAAATATATTCAAAATATTCACACAATACATTCGATCAAAGGAAACGTCGAATAACATTGGTGAAAATGATTTCGTTGTCCCAAATTTATTCTGCTTGTAAGACGAATTAGGTGGCACTGAAGTAACGTGGATTGCATTACAGTCCAATTCATACGGAATGCCAAATCCTTCGTCCAGGCAATATAATAGAAACGTGGATACCTGTAGATTACATTACTGAGAACGTATTATGTCTCTGACTATCGAATATCGAAACGCACTGGAATGACTAATGTATCTTGGAAACAACTATTTCAACTATGCGACTATCACTTGTACACTCGGGTACAACGTAGGTTTCCCTAGGGAAACTGACCAAGTAGAAAAGTAGGACTCATTATAGCACGTCATCACATAAATTATATCTCTGATTTATACAGATTTATAGGTTATTACATTTGGACATTTAGAAATAGACAGATTCATACGTTTTTAAAATTAGGAATTTGGAAAACTATTGATTTAGCAATTGTTTAATTTGATAATTTCGAAATTTGAAAATTTGGAATTTTAGAATTTTGAAAAACTGGGAAATTTGGAGTTTTTTTAAATTAATTAGAATTAATTGGGAAATTAAGATATTTACGACTTGGGAAATTAGAAAATTAGAGAATTGGGAAATTAGGAAATTTGAGAATTAAGAGATTGGGAAATCGGGAAGTTGTGAAATTGGGAAATTAGGAGATGAGGAAACTAGGAAATTGAGAAATTGGGGAATTGGGAAATTGGGGAATTGGGAAATTGGGAAATTAGAGAATTGGGGAATTGGGTAATTGGAGAATTGGAACATTTTGAAATTAGGGAATGGGAAATTAGGGAACTGGGAAATTAGGGAATTGGGAAATTAGGAAATTGGGAAATTGGGAAA